AGTCTTCTCGCTAAAAGTTGACAGTGGATTAGGCAATCGTTTCTCGTTTATTCGCATTCATCAGATCGTTTCCTTAAGTGCGAGTCGAGGTAGTTGCATGCGTATTAGAGTAATGACCATTTGTCTGAGTTAAGTATAGAACTTAATGCTAAGTTTTCCGCTGCCATGTACGTATAAACTAGATCCTTCAGTGTGGTCTCCATAGCAAGTAAGAAACAATAATCCGAAGACCTGTGGAAAACTATAAAGAGGACGAACATAACACTATTGGCAATTGAGAAGTAGAAGACGACTCGATCGCTGGGGCAATGTGTTCATTCGCCGGATGTTTCGAAATCCGTCGCGGATTCATCATCAGAGACATTCTCGCAGAGCAGTCCCAGCGGTCGAGTCATCTTCTACGTCGCAGTTACTTCCTGGTACTCGCATGTTCGTTTGTATTAGTAACTATTGGCAATTTGTAACTCAATTTGAACCCAGGAAAATCTTGGAGTTGAACGCGGAGGCTTTTAGTTCACAGTTTGTTTAGTTCACGCATTGCTACCAAAAGATCACTGCAACGGATAATTTGTCGAGTTACGGCGAATTTCGCACGAAAGTTTCTAGTATGCAACAATTGCGATGTCTAAGAAGGCTGGCTCAGCTGAACTGACACGTTAGTAGAGCAAAAAGTGTTTCCCAGACGCCCTAATATGCACACAGAACGTTCCGAAACTTCGGAAACTTGCCCAGTATCGTTTTAAATGCTCTTACTCTGGTCGCGCTGTTGATAAGCTTGAAACACATTCATCCTTTACTAATGGTTCCCGACTAAGTATTCTGCATGAAGTCTTATTGAGCACAGATGGAAAATAAAGAACTTAATTAGCGGATCTTGGAGACACAAATGAGAGCTCCGCATCAATATCAAAAACTTTAATTTCAGCTATGAAGGCAAGTGAGGTGAACGAATTTTTTCGTTTTATTCATCCTCAATCAAATACAATAATATAAGAAAGTGTAGAGCGAACAAAAGTTTGAGCAACCAAAGTAAGTAAGGGGGAGGGGTTCAGGGATCGCGGGGTCAACTGCTAGTCATAACATGGGGGCAGAGAGGGGGAGACAGCGACAACGCGTCCTCGCACCTATCACCACACGGGGCAGTGACGACGGGCGACGGGAACTAATTGTAGGCCCCCTGTGGCTAGAATCTGACCCCCTGCTCCCTGAACCTCTCTCCCCTTTCTTTCTATTGATTGGTTGCTAAAGTTTTCTTAATTCTACCGCCCCTTATATTAGTATGGTTGTCTGAGTAGAAATAATCGAAAACGTATGTTTGCCTAACTTGCCTTCCAGAACAAAAGGTGTGTTTTGCAGTACTTCAATGAGATCTTGTGATTTCGAAATTATCTTTTTCAGTTGAAAGAAAGGGAAAACTTCTGTGTTTTTGGATGTCTTACGATCGAGGCGACTAGAGATGTCCGTAAAATCGTGAGTATGGCCAACTTTCCTCAGGTCTTTTATTGCGTCTCACCAGAACTGTCGGCAAGACGCAGCAATAGGACCCATCGCTCCCTCCCATTCCGGGGCCTTACGCTAATTTTCAGCGAAATAGGTGTTGCGGTGAGGTCTAGGGTGAGTGCGGGGGGTTGGGTCACCCATCACTACTACTCACTCTTCCTGGAATTTTGTGCAACGTTTTGGTTCGGGTGTGTATTTTGATCACTATTTAGCATACGCATGTTCTATGAAGTTGTGAGCACCAAAATATAATTAACAGATAAATATACAAAACCTGTTGCTTTTTATAAAGTTCTACATAAAATGTTTCAGAAATATGATAAACATGCAGGAACGCAGGTAGGATTTAGAAATGCCGTTCTTAATTATTTCCCCTAGTAGAGGCGAAATTTTTAATAAAAACTTTTTTCCAAATAAGAAAATTCAAAGCGTACTGCAATCGAATAATTTCTGGCAAACGTCACTGAGTTGGAATAACCACTAAAAAATCATTGAAATCATTCACTCCTTACGTAATTACTAAAGTTCAAGTGAATTCACAGCTGAGGATCGCGGGGGGGGGTTTCGTTGAAAGGAGAACTGTTGTAACATGGGAATTAAGTTGAAGCCTCTGATGTGTAATTAATCATTTCGGTCGCCTGATATGAAAACGATAAGGTCACGGCAGTTTGACCCGCCTAAACGTCGATTGCATGACGTGCAGAATCGGTGCAACATCAGTGGCTTAGCATATGTCGGGCCGGACTTTCGCCGGATCTATCGCACTCTATCCTCCTTCAGCTACCTTGCTCCTATGGCAAACCAGTGTCAGGGCGACTTAAAGTGGACACGGTAGGCGGTCATAGTTCAGCTTGTACAATCTAATTACCAGAAAAGTTATCTCAACGCGACAGAAAAACGGGGGCAAGGACGGAGGTGTACTAACGGTTGTGACAGGGGTGATCAAGGAAAGGTCGTGTTTATCATTTATCAGTGACCCGAGAGTATCAGACTTTGCTCTTTAAATGCAAGCTGCTTTCAAAGGAGCCCGATATCCTGGTTCTGCGATCAGTCTGAGCACATGGAAAGGCAATCTAACCTCATGAAAATTTCTGCTTTATGCCATTTGCCAGTTGTTCATCTAAGTATGACATTGTCTAGAGGCCAAGCAACTAGTCTTATATTGCTTTAAATGGGTTTATACTCTCATGCTAGTTGTCTTTGGTAATCATTATGAGTTATTACTGACTAGAGTGCCGCCAAAGGGGAGAAAGGTGATCACGAAGTAACAGGGAAGAATGCATGTCGGGAATGTATCCTCTTAAAGACGAGAAATATTTGAGCTTCAGATCTGTCCAGATAGACGTTTACTTATGAAGATAGCCTCTTCCGCCGAGAGTAGATCCCTATGTGATAGTTTTTTCCTAGTATCCTTATGTACAGGGGCCTATGTCTGTGCCAAAGGTACAGGCTTTGAATCATCCTCCTGCCTACTTCGTTTGACACGAACAAGCATTCAGCTAGTCATTCAGCAAACGCAGTCGAACCGCGGTTCTCACTGTCATCCGCTCGAACGGAGGATTTGATTGGCAAATATTGGACAGAAAGAGGTTGCTGGACTTTAATCGTGTCTTTTTATTTTTGCTGATGTTTTTAAAAAGTTTATTTTCGGGGTACATTTTAGGTTATATGTGTCCATCTGTCAGACAGGATACTAAGTTCGCAAAGAGCAGTGATGAAACATATTGGCTTAATTGCGGCCCAAGCTGCTGCGCATATGGCTAGTTTGGTCTAGGGTTGCTGTACAAATATGTGAATGCGAGAAGTTCCATCATATTTTCCACATACACGAAGCTTGCCGGTCGAAGTTCACCTTCTCGAGTGGGAACCGAAGCAACCATACGGTTTTTGCAAGGTGACTATCTAGCCATATGATTAATTGGCCACATTTGAAAAAACCAACGGCTCTCTCGAGGCAGAAATTTTCTCGTGATCCGCCGAAATGATAATACAAGTCACCCGTCAGACGATCGGACTGGAAATGCGCATTTGCACCCACTGTGAGGCGAGGAATAAGAAGATTATTAAATCCCCCTCTTCCCTCCCCTCTTCCTATGCTCGAACGGCACTCATTTCATCGAGCTTGCCACCCTTTCTCCTGAATTTCCTGTGGGCGGACAACGGCCCCCATCATCTCCTCTCACGATGGTCATGGATGGCAGTTTAAAAATACGCGAAGAGGAGCCCTTATTTCTCAAAAATAGGGTCTTGAAACGAATATCAGTATAGGGTTGCTGGCATAAAGAAACGGGTTGGGTAATTCTGTTTTGTATTTCCGCAAAGGGTACGTATTCCCCTCCGCCCTGAAGTATCTTCCCTCAATGCCCCCTAAATGCCTTAAAACCAACCTACAAGGCAAAAATGATTTTCTCATTTTTTATGTATTTATTTGCACCCCGTTTCCGGTCCTATCATAAGATGATTCCCTTAGAACAGGTGGCATTGTGGTTATATTTCAGGGAGGGATGGGATAGAGAGTAGGGCACAGATCCCTGTTCGATAAGCTTTCTTTTCAGCTGATTGAAGATAATTGTATCTACACAACGCTGGGTTGTACGCAGGTTTATCCGCACTGTTTCAAGATTTACTCACACTCAGATAGAGTCCTTATAAGGACGG